CCTCCAGCTACCTGCACTATATATACATGAGGACTCGTGGTCGAGTCAGAGCAAGTCATATCTATCTAGCCAATCGGAAGAGGGAGAGGATATGACTCGACAGAGCGCCCGAGCATGAGTCAGTCCGAGTCAGGTATGAGTCACAACGAGTCAGGACAGATAAGAGCACATGGTCAGGGACGAGCGTGAGAAGAAGCGCCGTGGGTTGAGCCACGGGTACGGTAAGGTCACGAGGGGATAAGCCCCAAGTGGTATCATAAGTGCACAGAGGATGAAAATAAAGGGAAAACAAACACGGCGTACATAACAGTAGTTTGACGGCACTTTGATCTAGACTTGACGTAAGTCTGCCTATCGTATATGGCAAGTTTTGTACCTTGAGCCACTGAACTCTACTTACCACTCAATGTGTTGGCTAGGATGCCCGTCTTATGTCCGACGTTGAATATTGCTGAGGAGAGCACAGTGACCACAATGAGACTATGTTTCAACTGCCCTTTTTTGCTTGGTGCCTGTAGCCAAGATATTGAACACCTCATGAATTACAGTATGAAAACAGGATGCAGAGCAGAGCCACTGGACAAGCAGGTGATGTTACCTGCATCTCTGCCTCAAGTCTGACAGACTATGTGCAGGAGACACATGGACGTCTCACCCATGCTGAATGTCTATGTGAGTTTTGTGGCTGTATCTACACTTAGCATGTGCCACTTACGCAGTCTTGTCGTCTCTGTCAAGCACAGGGTACTAGTCATAGCATGGCTGCTTTTGTGTATAAAATGCCTTTGTTTCTCTCCAGGGTCCCCATCCTCCTCTCACCTAACACACACACTTTACTCCTTTGCCTTGCCTCACCTCACTTTCTTTCATTGAGATTCTGTCCTTCACCATCTTCTTCACCAAGGCTGTCGCCACCCTCATTCTGGCTGTCTCAGCATTGGCAATGCACATTCCTTGTGTAGATACTGTGGTCAAGTTGCTCATTGAGAGATGCGAGCCTAGGCTTACTGGCACTCAGAGCGGTGATGGTAAGGCTGCATACAATACTCGATATGAACAGTATCAGCTGATATAGTTCTACTCAGCTACCTATTCCAAGCCCGGATTGGGTGCCTGCAGTATCACCAACACTGCCTTGCAGTTGATCACCACTGTGTCTGAGGAGATCTACAATGACTACCCATAAGTCTGCATTATCATGGACTGCTTTGGGCATACTTGCTGAGCAGACCTTGCAACAGTGGTTACAATGGTGGCAACCCCAATGATGACCCTGCTTGCAATAAGCAGATCATGGTATCTTGTATGTGCAATGATTTCATTGCTTGTCACTCCAACTCACAGTAAATTGCATGTCTAGATGAGGGCAAGTCTGTTGCCATCACCATGGTTGACCACTGCATGGGCTGCACCACTACAGACCTGGACCTCAGCCCAGCAGCATTCCAGGAGCTAGCCCCCCTGTCTGCAGGCTGCATTCCCATCACTTGGGTGTGGTCGTAAGTAAGACACGTCAGTGCACTAATTGGGCACCCTGGCGGTGCCTCCTTTCACAATGGGCCAGCTCTGCATGGCATGTCCCTATTTATTGTCTCTTATAAGTGCTGGTTTTGAAACTGTTATTATCCTCCCTCCTTGATCTCTGCACTGCGTGCAAATGGTAAGAAACCTGCGAGAAACACAAAGTCTGTACTACTAGTAGTGTTGTATGTGTTGTCTTGTATAGAGCCGGGCGCTCCGGTCACCAGTTGACTTCAGTTTTTAGTAAAGGCACTGAGTGATCTGAGGCAGTAGGCAAATATTGACGTGGTAGTACAGACCACTCACATCTTCGCCACCAGAAAGACTGAAGGCATGCACCCTGTGGGTCCCTATCAATTTCATACAATACCAGGTCACAACAGTGAGACTACGCGAAGAAAATAGACCAGTAGAATCCTCATGAGGCGGACAAAAGACAATGCCACGTACCCGGGTCGAACGAGTGACCTTCGCATTTAATGGAGTGCATTCGACATCCGTACAAGTGCGACGCGCTACCACTACGCTAACGCGGCGTTAAGATAAATCCTCTTTGATATTATTAGATTGTAGCACGCTGCTGACCCGCAAGCTGACTTAAATACACGCTATCTGACTGGACGTTCGATCCTCCCAGGAGAGACTGTCACACTACACCTTTACTACATCCATGTTCGGTTTGCTCAGCCCATCACAATAGATTAACGGCCGCTCCATCGACGTAAGTACAGATGATATCGTCCTGCATGATACAGCCGACTGCCTGACGATCTTATGACAGGAATAGGGGACCAGCGGCGCTCATACCGCGCCTGGAACTGACCAGCCACCTGCATGGACGGTCTCGTGCCCCTCTCGAGCTTCATAGCGCATCAACTTCGTTCGGCAGACCCCTCTAATGCGCATTTATCTCAATGACACGTTCCCACCGAGCCCTCTGCCGCCCCGGCTGGGTCAGCTGGCTCTGTTCTGGGTGGCATCCAGGCGGTGTGCAATAATCTCGGTGGGCTGATCCCCGGTTGGGTACATATAGGCTGTCGTCTAGAGATACCGACCCAACGTCACCTGCCTTCGCGAACGAGAACAGGTCGCCCAACACTCCACCTGCGCATTTCCACGACTTCGTCGCCCTCATCCAGCTCGCAACCGTTGAACACAGCGTAACCGCAATGTCCTCCATCTCTCGTTTGTCGTCCTCAACTATGCGGATTGCGCCCATCGCCCGGGCATCTCGCCGCCCCGCGGGTCAAGTACGGTTTGCACATGTGGAGACGGAGCATGGTTCGCATGGCCATGGTGGCCCCGCGCCCTACGGGGTAAGCAAGTTATAGCCCAGATGTTCGACTATCTCCTGACTACTTCACTTTCCCAGCACCTTCCTTTCTCTTACAGCAACAAGCGGGCCTTCGCCGCGAAGTACGCCGCCTTCTGTCTCACGGGCTTCTCACTGCCCTTCATCGCCTCGGGCTACCAGTTGTGAGTCTCTCGTTCATATCCTACGCTGTGTAAGTCGGGGCACGAATCTGATGTGCAGCTTAGATGGAAGTCCGGTGGCGCATGAGCGGGTTGTCTCGTATTGTGAATGTACATTGCGAACACGGCACAGAGTATAGTCGGCGTGTGTATCATACCAAACATCAGAACGTATTCCCACCACTGTAGATATATATTGGAACTTGTTCTTTTTAGTTGCATCCTTCTGTGTGATGTGTGGTGCTTATTGCATGAGCCGTGGGCTTCTTGTCAGAAGTACGGTCGTAGCGTTAACGTGGACGCGCTCAAGGGTCAGAAGCCTTGACTTGTGCCACGAACAGAGTTGCAAGGTGAGTCAGCCATGGAGATTTGCGTCTCCCCGAAGTAATCAAAGCCTCTTGCTCCATAGATCCCATCAGCCTTATCGGTGGGCACTAATACAAAGTCCTACCGGCTCCGACTCCTTGCAGGAACCACCCGACCATGAATGGCCTCTCAGAAGCAGGAATACGTCATCATGAGGAAATATCCTAAAAATTGGCGAGCAGTAGTCAATAATCTTTTATTGACGCCCTGGCAGGCCGACTCGCCACTGCGCCACTAATTTGTGCTTACAAGATCGCCGAACAATCAGTGGCTCGCAGCAGACAATGATGAGGAGATTGCGATGAATACTACTAGTTTACGGTGCGAATCTGGAACATCTGACTCGGTCAACGCTTTGACCGAAAGTGGCTTAGGTCTTATAATGCAAACGGCTTTGTCCCCCCTGCATTGTCCGCCAAACCGGGCATCGTCGCAACCACATATAAGAGGCTCACCTTCGGCAACGTTGGCCAGTGACCGGTCCCTACTTCCACACTTTCCCTCTTTCTTTCTTTCTTTCTTTACGACTATCTGTCGTCTTCCACATAATCGAAAAAGCTAACATTGTAAGTATGCTCTTCGTCTCTAAACGCCGCTCGATCCATGAATCGTTCTGCCCTTCAGATTAAAATGTCGCGCCAGTTACCGGTGACGCCGCCCCGACGAGGCACGAAAAGACCCGCCCCGTCTCGTCGAGAGTCGCTAGAGCCACTCCTCTCTCGCACGCCGAACTTCGGCGACTCGCCGCCACAACGTAGTGCAGCCTCGAGCACGGAAGTTGATCCCAGCGAACTCGACGCCTACCTCACCGACGTCGGGAAGGCCTTCGAGGGTGCGATGGACATCTTTGCCACTCCGCGCCACTCCCCCTCGCGGCGAGCGCAGCCGCGCAGCCCTCCGTCCGCGCGCACGAAGGCCATTGCGCCCTTCCTGCTGTTCGAACCGCCCTCCCCCTCCCCCCCGCGGAAACCGAAGACGCACATGCTGTCGAAGATGGCGTGGGGGCGGCTTCAGAAGCGCAACGAGGACTGCGTGAATACGTTCACCCGCCCTCCGCTGGCACGGGTGGCATCGACCTCGCGCATCCCGACACTGCCGCCGTTGCCGCGGGTCCAGCGTGGGTGGAACACGACCCCGTCTCGGAAAGCTAACTTGCGGGCCCGAGAGGAGGCGGAGTGGTTGTGGAGGGTGCGCTCGATGAGGCAGCACACTGGCAGGCGGCACGGTTCGGTGTCGCCGAAGAAAAGCCCCGCGAAGAACAGCGCAGAGACGAAGGCCCGCATCTTCGGGGAGGCCGCGCCATTCAAGACGGTGTCCAGGCTGGGTGTCCCCTTCCAGCCCAGAGCCTGAGCTTTGTACCAAGGCTCGAAGTGCAGCATGGTCTCTGCGTCGTCTTCGCGAGACCTTCGTGGACACTGGTGCGAATTGAGCGAGACATTCTCTCTGTTCTGTCAAACGACGGGACGACTTAAAATAATGTAGCTTTACTGTCTTGATCCTCTCACTCTTAGCTGTATCAGTTGACACGATCCTTACGTTGCTGTACGTTCATGAATGTAGGTAGTCATCTTCTCTTCACGATCTGGTAACGTCTTCTGTCCTGTCAACGCCGTCAACGCCTGTCTGTAGTAGTATCTCGTATCACGTACGTCAATACAATGTTGAATCTCCATCAGAAACAGAAATCATTTTATTCACGCCATAATAGCAAGCATTCAGGCTGAGAACTTTAGATACTAAAGGTGCTCGCATTCTCGATGTACTGCAAAATCATCGACAACGCTCTACATTCAGTGACCAACCCCCGTCCTGGAAGGGCCACCTCCTGTGGATGCGTGCCTTCTCTTCCACTGAATCTTGCTCAGCCATCACTCGGCCCAAAACGTCCTGGTTGCGACGCTTCGCGTCTTCAAGCTCTTCCCGCGCCACGGACCCCTCCGGCCCAATCCCGATCTCTTCATCAAAACGGTGCAGCTCCTGATCTACTGCCCATTGCCTGAGCTTCGCGCGATTGGCACTCACGTCCGCAGGATCGAAGGAGATGGGACAGCGCGAGCCGGGAGCGAGATCATCCCACGCCTCGACAATGTCTATGAGGAGTTCCCTCAGAAACGGAAGCCCCTCCTCCCAGGAGTGGGCAGCGAAATGGGACAGCGCGCTTAGCACATCTCGATGGGGCGCCGAGCGTGCTGCGTGCAGCACCGGGTTCAACTGCATGGTCATGTAGTGGTAGAACTTGGTATGCGCGGCGAGCACCTGTTCTCTCCTCGCGATCTGTTTCTCTTCCGGCGGTAGGCTCTTGTAGTCTGGGGGAAGTTCGGGCGGGTAGCCAGGACTCTCGTCGATGGTAATGTACTTCCCGCCGGAGTAGACCAGGAAATCTGGCGCAGTGATCCCCATCAGCGAGTCGACGGTGGCTGTCTGCCAGTCTAGGAGCGCTCGGATATTGAGGTGGCCGGACTCAGCCACAAGCAGGTTCGCGGCGTGGAGATCTGGGTGCCACAGGTGAAAGCTCGAGGCCCAGGGCTCGTACGGAAGAAGTGGAACTATCTGCACTAGCTTCTCCAGCAGCTCGATGTGCACTTGTGGGTCGTTCTCTTCTTCAGACACGTAGAGAGGGCTGTCTCGCGGATGGGGTATTGCGTAGTGGCGCAGCCATTGGATCTGGCATTGGATGATTGCTACAATATGAGACCGGAGGTCTCGCCCTGCGCGGTCACAGTATAAGCGAAGAGTTTCGCAGAGTTTCAGAATATGTGGACGCACATGGTCCTCGGTCAATCTCCAAGAACCTCCTGTCTCCACGCCAGAACTGTCGAGAGACGCTTGGGCCAATTACATAGCGTCCCCACCGCTCGTTTTGAGGAACATCAGACGGCAGCCCGACGGCTGGAACATCCTTTGGCAAATCACTTTCAAAGTACAGGCTGCCAATGTGAGACAGCGGTGTCTGTGTCCAAGCTCTCTCTGCCTTGACCAGTTCGCGCGTAGCCGTTCCTGCTTGATTGGGGTCCACATCTGGAGACCACCTTTCGTGCAGCTGGACACCAGAGACCTTCTGCATGATGATGTACTCGGAGCGGACGTCCGTCTGGTCCGCATCGACGCAGTAGGCAAGCACGCGCGGGGTAGGAGTATTCATGCGCGCCCTGGCGAATTCCATGGTGGCCACTTCGCTGGCTGTGGTCAGCCGTGCAGGACCAGCTACGGAAAATGGCAGACGGGCGACAACTTCGCGGCCGTTGTCTAGCCGAGCGACGAAGAGTCTGTTCGAGTTCCCTGCGGGAAACTCAGTCATGAGCGCAGGATGCGAGTGCCGCATCCGAAAGATTACCTTCCGCAAATTTCTTGAAGGAGATACAGGATGCCGCATTTCCGGCCTCCACGCATTTTCGAATCAAGGCATCCACGTCAAAGCGAATGCGGCGAGCTGCGAATTCTAGAAGGAGCGCCTGTGGTTAGTATGATACATGCTAGAGTAGACGAGGTAGGGCTCACGCTGCTCGGAGTTGTACAACCAAGTCCCCTTGGTCCAGCAGTAGAAGCTCTGCGTTTCATCTGTGGGCAACCGTAGTCAGGTCGAATACTACGGAGATGTAGTACGCTAGTCAAACTGGCCATCATGTACCTTTTGAGTATGCTTTTGAGTGCTTGCAACCGGAATATGAGCGCACCATGTGATTTACGCCTCTCACGT